CCCTACATGATGGATTGCAATATTAGTGGGGAAAGGAGGATTTCCTGCCTCTGATGCATCATATGTTGGCCACTCCCAGAGGCGGGACAGAAGACTTGATGGGCTGATTTGTAGGAGACAAATCCTATGTTCTTATACAGGGTTGAGGACGTAGGAAAAAATGAGTTTTCCATATAAGTTCTTCCCATGCAGTCATCTGGAGACTGGATTTTGTTTGCTTGCCTTTAGCATGGAGAGAGAAGCAGCATTCAGAGCCAGGTGAGTAAAAGAGAAGCATGGGATGGAGCCAGAGAGTGCAATGGAGCTGTGCATGGCTCTGCTTCGAACACCTGTGGTACTCACCTATTAGCACCTCCCACTTTCCGCTGGCTTGCGTCACCTCATAGGCGCAGCGCATCTCATTCAGGCTCGTGCCCCCAAGGATGAAGATGATGAGGCGGGGGCCACTTCTGTACTCACCAGGGGCCTTGTTCTTGTGCCAGTGTCCATAGCGGGCACTAAATAGGGAAAAGAAGATACAGTGAGGGGTAATAGAGAGCATCCACACTCAGATTGCCTTGCAATCACTACATGCAGAGACAATCAACTCCTGGATCTGCTATTTGCTGAGAAAGAGGGAAGATATCTGATGAATTCTTCTGGATGGTCCTGGGTACAAGAATGCCTAAGCAGTGGCCAGGGATTCAGGACTCTTGGGTTCCTTCTACAGTTTTGGGTAAGTTAGTGTATAGATAAGGAATCTGTAGCAAAGAGCTTAATACTGAAGTGGAAAAGTAGTCCTACCTCCTGGCCTATAGGGCTATGGGGAGGATTAGTTAAAATGTTTATAAATTATTATTATTATTGCCCATTCATCTCAGGGAGCAGTAATAATCCACACTCTGCATGCAGAAATCTTCATTGCTTTTCAGTGATAAATATTATTCATCTTTAATAGATGGGGGAACTGAGACACAAGGTAGTGCAGTGACTCAAGGTTGACATCAGACTGGGTCACAAACCTGATGAACAGCCTGACACTGTTTTCCATTATTATGAGGGTCTGTTTAGGAAGAAATTAGGACACAAATTCCAAGTGTTGAAGCAGAACAGGAGTGAGATACAAAAACAGAGTGAGGGGATGGCTGGTGGTTCAGGATTGGATTAGGGAGGGCTGCTGTAGGATAGAAGTGAGATACGCCTACCCTAGGCCTTGCTCTGGTCAGCCTGACTAGCCTTTCACTTCCATGGAATATCAGCATATCAAAAGAGAAACAATGAAGAAATGAAAAGAGAGTTACTGAGTGCTAGTTGTTGGTACTGGGGAAATTAAGTGTTTATCTGTCTGCATAACGCTGATGTAACTAGTCTCAGACTCTCCTTTGGGAAAGGTCCCACCTTTCCCAAAGGAGGTGTGCATACGGGGTGTGTATCTTTCTACTTCACAGGCAAGCTGTGAAGACAAAACCCAGAGATATTTGTAAGGCACAGACCCTAGGTAGAAGTCATGTCTGTAGCAGTGCAACCATCAGTACACACAGGTATAAAAAAAACAATAGACCAATGACATAAACCTCTAAACCAGGTAACTTTTCCCAATCCGGCAGAGCAGTGGGGGCCAGCCTTTTTGGCAGATGTGCCACAAATTAGCCCTGTACTCTCTCTGAGTGCTGCTCCACTCTCCTTTCTCTGTCTGGTCTGCTGCTCTGATATCTGCTCCCTGCTCAATCTGCTGCTGTGCTGCCTGTCCCCTCCCTAATCTGCCATGTGCTACACACAGAGCTTGCCTGTGCCACTTGTGGTACACATGCCAAAGGGTGGCCACCCCTATGGTAGAGAATTTGCTCTGAAAGACTCAGAGGTACAATTCTTCTGGTATAAGTGACATCAGTTTAGAATTGGTCTGTCCACATTCATCCCAGGCTAGCTGGTGGCTGAAAGGAAACCGGCTGTTACCTGGTTCCCCCATTGTCCCCGTAACAGTGACCTACTGAGTGAGCTACCCCAGAGGAGCTGCATATCTGTCTGTTCTGGGCGCCGGTGTCATTTCCATTAATATTCATAAACAATGTAAACTATAAAGTATATACGTGTCTGTTCAGGATTTCAGATACTGCAGTGATGTGAGTCACATCAACAGCTGGCCTAGTCAAGGCCTCACTGAATCCTATGTGACCTATAATGTCCTGAAACAGGAAGAAGCTGGATTATGAATCTACACATCATGGCATTAGATTTGAAGCTACATGTTGATAAGGGAAAAGCACTGGCACCTCTTCCCAGGACTGAACCTACCTGACAGCAGTGGTACTGAAAGAGGCTGAGGAGCGGGTAGAGATATAGGGATAGTGCTTTGTGTCCAGTTTGTCCTCAACAGCATCCTGGAAAGATAAGAACCTGATATCAGTATTTAGGGAAGCCAAAGTTACCATTGTTTGGACCAGAGCTGTGGTTCATCTCCTCAGGCAGCTTTTTGGACCCAGTTGTGGAGATACTCTGAGAAAAAGTTCTCCTGAAGTCTCCCTCAAGGAAAAGAGCCCTGATACCCCCAAGCCAGGGCAGACCCTTCCTGCTCCTTCCTGGATTTATTAGCTAGCCCAGTGAGCAACAGTCACTCCATGCCACAGACAATATGCAGGAGCAGCTACTGACCTGCAAGCCTCTGACCTATATCAAATGCCAAGCCCTGTGCCAGGCTGGGCTTCAGAGGGGCTCAAGAGGAGGTCTCTATGGGAGCAAGTCTGCTCTGTTTGAGCAATGACCATCTCCTGAGCACATGGCCTATGCTTTCCTTTACAGCAGTTGCTGTTCTCCAGATTCCTCATCCTGACTTTCTCTGGTCTGAACCAGGAGCTGCTTCATTCTTTACCTGATTGCTATCAGCAGGACCCCTGGTATCAGCATTGACTTTTGTGGGCAATGCAGTGTTAGGGAAAGAATAAAACTGGAGAATCATCTGTAAAACTTAGTATTCATTTTTGTTTCACCTTCTTTGTAATAAGAACAGCTGCACTTTGAGGGACAGCATCGGGTGCTGGCCGTATGATTCACTTGGAATGAATATAAAATAAAAGGGGGCTCCTGACTGCAGCTGCAGAACTCAGGAAGAACCTGAGTTAAATTAAGCCAGGCTCTGGTGACTACTGTCACCACACATCCTACATTAGATTCAACAGTCATGGAACGAGATTCATAGCTGGTTAATTTTACTGTCGAGCCTATGATTACAGGGTTGGCTGTATACTTTGGGGCTGGGATTTTTAAAGGCTACTATGGCAGCTGTATGTGCAACTGTGTACAGCTTCTGTGAGAATCCCACTTTAGGTTCAAAGCTAACCCTAGTCCTCAAGCCATCACAGGATGCAAAGGTAGGGATTTCCTGGCCAGTCACCCCCTTGTCCAATCACACCAGGAAAGAACAAATTACTTGTTTTTGTGCTTCTGAGTAATCTCCAGTGCTCCCCTAAATTACTTGTGTCTACAACCATCTTAGTGCCTGCCCTGCTGTCCTTAGTCACATTGGTCCTTTACTGATAGCAAAGCACCCTGGTAAAGCTATCTCCCGTTGGGAAGTGGCACTAGTTTAAATGACACCTTCACTTAAATTGTTTTAGTTAAATCAGCACAAACCACTGCTTGCTCCACTCCCTTTGCATTAGCTTAAACTTGTTCTCAAATGAGTTATGTTAAACCAGAATAAAAGTGTCAACAGAGGGGCTTGTACCAGTTAAACTACACTAATTTAATTCATGCTGCTTCTTCCCCATGCAGATAGGGCTGGGGTCACCTCTAGGTTACTTTCCTCCAGTGCTGTGCAAACTGCAGGTCACAGGCTGATCTTGGCTATGCCTGTGCATTGACTTCAGTAGATTGTTCTGGATTTACATCCATGTAAGTGAGATCAGAATTTGGCCCTGCCTTCCACTCCCTACAATCAAATCACTAGGACCCACACTCATACTGCAGACCAAAAAAAATGAACCCACTAAGTTCTTTGTTATGCTAATGCTCAACACCAAGGGGTGAGAAGAGGGAAAGTCGGACACTTCTGAGAAAGATGAGTGAGTCAGGTGTTCGGCTGACATCCGTCTTAAATAGGGAGCTTTCTGCTTCTAGCCTTTTACAACCACCTCCTGCCACCCACCAGCTCTTTAAGCCTGACAGTGATTATTACCAGGAGCTTTCCAGTTCAACCTACTAAGAACCCTGCTGTGCTGCACATCCCTAATGAATCACTATCAGCTGCTCTAGTGAGTCATCTTACACAACCCTGATGCGGGTCCCAGCTGAGACCACTGAGCTTGGATCAGCTCCTCCTCATTGTCTTCTTCAACGTCCACTGATTGGAGAAATGTTTATGAAACCACAGAAGGGAACAGCTGTCTTTGGGGATGTGAAGAAGAAGGTAACTGGCTTGTCCTGGAATGAGAAAAGCTAGGATCTCTGCAAAGAAGTAATCTCAGGGGTAGAGCCAGCATTGGAGCTGTGGGTCTTTGCTCTGCTTTCTCTTGCTTAGGTTTGAAAGCATTTGGGGCATTAGCCAAACTCTTGTTAGATCACTTCCTTGACATTCAGGAAAGATAATGATGGGTTAATTTTGGATCCCTACAGCTCTGTGTACTTGCCTCCTCTGCCTCTTCTGTTCCCTATCATATGCTGTCCGCTTCCCTTCCTAGCCATGTAATATAGGAATTCAAAACAACCCTATGGGTGCCTTTAAAGCAAGATTCCTCCAGTAAAGCATCAATAATAAAAGAGACAACAGGAACAGCTCTGCCTCATACTAGTGGCATGTCTAGTGTGCTTTTAGACTGCAAACTCCTTGGAACAGAAAAACTTTTAATTCTGTGTTAGGGCAGAAGGTCCTGCTCTGTGACAGGGCTTCCCATGTGTCACCCCAGCATAAGTAACAGCAAGGTCCTATCTCCAATAGCAACTAGCATCAGAGGAAAACTCTGGAATAATTGGGGGTTATGGAAAAGCCTGTTTGTAGTGTGGGAAAGTTTCCTTCATACCCTAACGCGTTTATGCTGTGTGGCCTGAAGGCCTAGTGAGCAGGGAGCTTACTACTGAGACCTGTGTGTGGGCAGAAAAGAGAACAGTGTGGCCCCTTAGGGCATTTAAACATACTTTTTCAGAGATCCAGCAAGTCGAAGCAGACTCGATTAATCGAGTATGCTTCACACACGAGCTGGCGCACACTGCGATGTGACGCTTGCAGTTGTATAAGCAGAGAAAATGGCGACGGTGCACTTTTGAACTAAAAAGCAGACCGCCACCATGCATGTATAAAAATGCCCCTAGAGAATAGCATGTAAACAGAGAGAGCTGCACAGGAACCCTACATGGGAGGAAGTTTCCTGCCACCCCTGTTGGCAAGCCTATTGGCAACAGGAGGAGGCCAGGATTTATTTGCATTTGACAGTTTTGAATATTTTTGGTTAAATTACAACTAAAGTTTGAGTTTTGGGAATTAACAACATGGTTATCCTTGTGTAAGAGAAGAGCAATAGAACCTGCCAAATATGCTTAGGGTGAGATATCACCATAACTAGGCTGGGAGCTGAGCATGCGTGGGTATCGGAGCCAGGGCCATACTTCAATTCTGGTTGCAAAAGATCTTTTTGTGGTGGATGAGGGCTGTATGTTATTGCTTCAGCCTTCAAGACTTGACTACAGTGGGGATCTCCCTATCTGACCCAAGAACAGAATCACTCCAGCTGCATTTGCTGATGGAGCAGCTCAGGTGTAAGTGCTAGCAGCCCTGGGAGATCCAGATCTTCCTGAATGTTGGATACTGACAACTCTGGACAACAAACCGTAAGTGGGGATCTGGAAAAGAAGGGAAGAGGGATGTTGTTGATGCTAGAATGCTGTCTCGTTAGCCATCTGCAGCCTTATAAGGAATATGAAGTTGAAGAAAATTGCCAAGACATACTGGCATGCCGGTCTTATTGAACAGACATTGTGGATTAATTGATCATTTTTCCTAAGTTTATTTTACATCCTTCTTTCTCCTCTTCTCCCAAAATTCTGTTTTAAACCTTTTCATTCAGTGTCTTTGAGTAGACACGAATTGTTTGTCAGAGGCCCCCGGGAAGGTAATTTAGAGTGGTTTTGAAGCAGGTGGAAAATGGGAACTTCTGGATAACTGAACCTGGCTTAGGGTTGCCAGCTCTGTTTGAATCTATTCTGGGAGGTTTCATCACATGGCGTGATGCGACACAATGCAAACGTGCTTGCGTATATTAGTTATAAATTATGGTGTGTACACTTCACGTAGGAAGGCAAAAGCACATTACTATTACATTTTTAAAACCCACTGGACTACTGTATAAATTGGATTCAAGAGTTAATATTTATTTTAATGAATACCCTATCATTTAGCTCCCAGGTGACTCTCAGTAGTCTCCTGGAGATTTATATCTAATTCTTGGAGACTCCAGGGCAATCCTGGGGGGTTGGCAACCCTGACCTGGCCCTTTGGGCTGCCAACAACACTGCAGAAAAATCCTACTTCCTTAAGCAGCAATTGTTCAACTTTAACCTCTCTGAAGACATGGACCAGAAGGCAGAGAGGGTTACTGTCACATGATGAGGAAGGGATATTCTACCAGATTTGGCTCTTGTTGTGGGACCCATGTGCTCTAGTGCTCAGTTATGTCTAGCAAGGAGGTACTGAGCTGCAAAGATCAGACCCTTGTACCAGATGCTTGCTCAGTGGTAAAACATACGTGCATCTCTCCAAATGCTCAGTAGTGTCCCTCTGCTTTTTGCCACTAGGTGCCAGCAGAGACTAGTCCTCCCTAAAGCATCACTGAGGAATTAGCACATGCCCTGCCTGAAAGGAACAGGCCGGCCCCACTTGGCTTACCAAAGTTGCACAGTTTTGATTGGAAAGCAGGCTTTCCAGTTGCCACAGAAGAACAGATTAAAAAACGTTTTTGTTGAAACCCAGCTTCAGTCTGCATTGTACTCTATGCCAGACAGAATCTATAACTCTGATCTGATCTTTGAGGTGGGGAAGAAGAGATACCAGACAGAGTGACCAGTTCAGAGACACTAAAGCTTAGGGTAGGTTTTCAATAGTGCTGAATGTCTGCAGCTGGGCTTCATTTTGTACCTCTAAATAATCAGATACTAAAGGGAATGAAAAATCATTCCCGTGAACTGGAGCATGTGGTATCATTTCTCAGCATCTGCCCTGCTGGTTCAACTGGGATCCCAGAAGGGGAAGATACAGCCCAGATGTGCCATGTAGTAAAAGACCATGTGGTCTCAGAAATTGGTGAATTATTATGTACTTCTACTGCAATATTACCTGTGAGCCCTAGACATGGATTAGGACCTTACTGGATTAGCTTTTGTACAAACCTGGGGGGAAGTGGTCCCTGATCCACAGAATCTATAATCAAAATCGTGTGCCCCAGGATTTTCTAAGATCGCATCAAACATTTCCAGTAGCAACACCATCCTCATTTCACACCTCTGCCAATCCTGTCCCCTAGCTTTTCCGGGGCCTACCTCCATTATGTCTTTAATAACAGGGGTCCATCTTGAGAGCTGATAGGTCTGCTCGCTGATGCGCTCCTTCCGCTCTGGCTTGCTCCTGCGACGCAAGGTGGACTGGACACAAACAACAGTAGAGACAGGCATTAAAATGGTGGTTCAACACTGAGTCTGTAGGGGATTTTCTAGGAAGCATTAGATGATAATGGATTCAGACAGCAGTTTGAGGCCAGGCCAGGTTGGTAGTAATCATAAAGTTGCTGTTATCTGAGGGTAATGACTGGTGTCCTGTAAAAACCAAGTTAGTGAAGTCTTGTTTCTCTTCTCTGTAGTTAAGGGGTTCACATAGTAAAGTCAGCTGTCATAGCTGGTGCAAACATGTTGACAGCTTTGGGAGAAAAGCCAAAACTTGGATGGGCCACGAAGACCAGGCCAGGCACTAGCACCTAGAAGGGTCAGGGGTGGGAGGGAGAATACTGCACTTCTGCTGCCTGTCCTGTGCCTCTCAGTCCAGGTCCTTCCACTGGCAGACTGAGCATTTGCAGTGAGATAAGGACAGTACAGACTTTTCTCTCTTGGCCTCTCTTCTCCCTTCTCCTACTCTGGCAGAAGGAATTTCTGACTGCTAATCACTACAGAGCCATAGACACAGCAGCTCTCAATCCATCCCAGGCACATGCTACAACTGTTACCTTGGTCTCTACTGGGGAGAGTGGAATGGAAATCTGAGCAGGGATGGGGATGAGGCTAGGTATCTCCCTATGGTATCCTGGGGAGCTTTTCCATTCCTTAAGTGGAAGCTGAATTAGACCTATATCTCTCTACCTCGTGTTTCATGGATCCCCAGACATTTGGATCATGGTACCTCTGGGATCTCACTGCCTGCTTGTGCCAGACAATAAGATCTAGTTAGGGTAAATCCAGAACTTTCTGACCCAGAGGTAAGAGCAGTAGCAAGAGCTAAATTCCCAACAGACTCGTTAATTCGTCTTTGTTACATACATGCACTCACTTCCTGCATTCCAGCTTCCGCAGAGACCAATCAGTACCAGTCATTCAGATTTAATCACAATTCCATAGCCAATGAGAGTTCAGCTGTCATATCAGTAGTCTTCCCTTTCTGTGCCTGTCAGCTAAATCACTCCTAATCCAGGATACCTAGGGGTAGGAGGTTAATTGATGCCAGGGTTGTAACTGTTTGAGAGCAACAGCTATTCACAGTCTAGCAATACTGGAGAATCAGGAGGCTTATAGGACTTTCTTAGACAATCCTAATTTGAGTGTGTTCTGGGGCTGAGGTCCAGAGTCAGACAGGTACTCTGAAGTCTCTGTTACAGCGACAGGCTTCTGTTGAACACTCACATCTGTGATGATGGGCACTCCAAGATGGGCCATGTTGGTGATGATCTCGCTGTCCTCTGGTGGGATCTGAGCATGCTGGATCAGTTTGTTCAGGTTTTCTTCAGTGATGCCTAGAGACACAAACAGGAAACTGGTTCCCAAACTAAAATACACTTGTTCTTCCAATCTAGGGATCTCTCAGAGGCCACTTGCCATCAGGCATCAGTCCTGAAGATCAATCCATCATGAGAATTCTCGGGTAACATCGGAAAGTTGGTGTCGCTTTTTCCTTCCCAGCTCCTATTTCACTTCACTACTTGCCTCCCTCATAACTGCCCTCTGTCCTAAAAACCAACATTGTATATCAATTCTACATCCCTTGAACTTTGGCAACATATGAATTAGCATGGTCTTGTGGGTAGGAAAATGGGCATGGAAGTCAGGGGCCATGGCCCGACTCTCAGCTCTGCCATAGTGCTGCTAAGTGACTTTTTGCATGCCATTTTCACACTCTGTACCATATTATCCTCCCTCTATCAAATATGTTGATGCCACCTGTCTCTTGAGAGGACTGAAATTGCAGGAATGTTTTCAGCGTGCTTTGAGAATCCTGAATGGAAGATGACAGAGAGGATGAACTGCTTATTAGCGTTAGAAAATTATGATGAGTTGAGCACTGTCAAAAATTAGCAGTTTGAGTCATTCATTCTCTGTGCAGTCAATGTCCTAACCATTTCTGTAGGTTAGAAGTGTAAAATCTCCCCAATCTATTACTTAGTGGTGCCGCAGAAGATCAGGGAACTAGCTCTAATCTCTGGAAGTCTGGTAGGGACTCTGTGCCCTTCTATGCAGCATGAAGAAGTGTGTACCTGGATCTACTCCGCTGCTATCACCTTCTATCTGTCCCCTTGTCCTTCCTTGGACCCCTTCGATCCCTCACCAACCCAAGCTGCTCCGTAGTTTCTCCCCTTACCATTCTTCAGGAAGATGTAGAGCAGAATGATGCGGATTTTGTCATAAGTACTGACATTCGCATCCAGCAGGATTGGCACAATGGCCCTCATAGGGTCCTTGATCTTCTCCCCTTCAGCATCGGTGCCCATAGCCAGGTCCTGCAGAGAATACACACACCGTTCACTCTGAGGGTCAACTCCAGCACCATGTCGCAAAGCACAATGGAAAGAATGGAAATCTGAATTTGAAGGAAATGTGGAAACTAGACTCTGACTCCATCAGAACTGCTTATACCCACTGACCAATGTGCAAGGGAGCAGCCCAGGATTTGGAGCTCATCATATCCTGGACTGCATGGATTAAAAAAGAAGAAGAAAGTCCAAGCTTGTGTTAAGCTTCAGAAGGGCCCTGAACACTGAAACTGAGCTAGATGGGGCAGATGGATCACTAAGGCTGAAGAAAACAACCAGCCAGCTTTGCTTCTGTAGTGGGAGGCTGAGGATCAGGAAGAAGCTAAAACAACCTCCTTTCCCAGCCTAGTCTACCCCAGTAAGTGAGCTGCATGTGCCAGCTGTTAGCTTTTAAGTGAGTTCAAACCTCAGCCATAATTTGACTTGCTGAATACTTGGACTGTGGCCATCAGGAGACAAATCTGGGCTGGTGACGGATGGAAAGGCTTCATTGTGGAGATTCTGCCTTGCTTGGTAGGTCAAAGAATAATCTGACAAGGCCAGGCCATTTCTCCATAGGCCCAGATCTAGTTCCAGAAATTTCTCCCATGGGGAAAAATGTCTCAAGTAACCCCCTATTCCATGTTCCATGTGTGAGGAGGGCCCAGACTAGTTTAAAGCTAGAAGGAGGATGCATTTACAGCCAACTCTGCAGAGAAAGTCTCACTTCCTGGCATGTCTCCCAGCGTTCCGAGGAGATTCTGGAAAGGCCGCAAGAGGGAACAAATTGTGCCTGGATCCCAAGTGCATAATCTCCTAGTTCTGTACCACCATCAGGTCTTTAGGTACAGCAAGGTCTGCCTCCTGAGACTGGGCATCACGTATGCATCTAAAATCAAGCTGAGGCTTCACAGGAATAAGCTTGCGTGGCTTGGAGAAAGGAACACCGTGGCCTAGGAGGTCTCCTCCTTTGGGTTCTATCCAACCTTTTTTGCTCAGAAGTTGCTCAATAGCTGGGGGTGAAGTACAGGGTGGAGAGCATAATGCCAGAGGGACAGAAAGGAGACCAATACCTGTTCTACTCTGCAGAGCTTGTCCACGGTGCCTTGGTAGTGCTTCATGCAGTCCTCAGCCAGGTGCAGGTGGGTGGAGTACTATGGTGATACAAGAGGTACAGACACGCTTCTAGCATTAGCAGCAATATGTTCCCCAGCACTTAACACTGGCTTGTTGGCCCAGATCCTAGGTCCTTGAGAAATAATGCTGATGCATACCTGCCAAGAATCTGGCCCTCTATTAAATGTATGTATGAACAGGCTTCTTGTGACGCTATAGATGTCCCTGTTTTACATACACAGTGATGAATGCCATCCTGGCTAGAGAAATGCATCCTGTGTGATTTTTGTGCTTCCCTCAAATAGCTGAAGCAGCAGTAATAGTCCCCCTCCTCATTTTTCCCAGCCCCTTCATCACCACCAAGCTAGTGTGGACTACAGAAGATGAGCACAGTACTGAGATGTGCGTGCAAAACCAGGGTTCTGGGTCTCCACATATCTTTTTTTAATTTAATTTCAGTTTGAACATGACCAAAAGCCACATTTTAGAAATATTCTGGTGAATCAGGAGTTCCCAGACCCTGCAGATTTTCAATGAGATTGATGTTCCTCTCCATTTCACTGGTAATCTAATAATCAATCCACTGACCAGCTCCCAGGGGTACCAGGCCCAGGGCAGATCCACTAATGGCTTGCAGCCCCAAGGATTCCTGGCCCCTCTATGAAGTTCATCAAGCCTGAGAGGTTTCAAAAGAAACTTTTCAGGGTCAATAAAATCTTTAGTTTTGTCAACAAATTTCTGACCCTTTTTTATGGGTGACTTGGGGTCACATTCCAGCTTTGCCACTGACCTGCCATGTAGCCTTGGAAGTTAATTTTCCTTCTCTGTGTTTCTGTCTTCTCCATTTAGTAAGAGACAGTCCTTTCCCAAAAGCTAAGTGTGTGTAGTGCCCAGCACAATGGAGCCCTGATCTCCATTGGGGTCTCTAGCTGTAATAATTATACAGAAAGTTTATGCAGGGTGCTTGGCATCTACTTCCTTGTGTTTGAGGAAAAGTCCCATCCCAACTTCTTACCTATGCTAGCTGTCTTCCTAAAAGCTCCACACCCCAATACCACCAGCCCTGTTTCAGCCTCAACAGTATTCATTCTCTGTAATACTAGCAAGAGCTCCACTAAGCACAACTGGAGATCTGCAGTCTTGGCCATGGGAGGAGGGCTAGCTTTAGCCATTCTGTGAGGAAGGTTGCTCAAACACCGGTTCCTTTCTGTGGGCAGCCATCCATTTTCCATTCCCTTTACCTTGCTGAGTTCTTTCTGATACTGGGGCATCTTCTTCAGCATCTGAGACAGGTCCCTCATAGTGGTCTGCTGAGAAAAGAAATGTCAAGGATTCTCCTATGCTGAATTTTACGTGTACCTTAACTTTTGCGAAACCCATCAAAGGAGAAATGCCAGGGAAGACACCCGTGAAAGCTTCCCACTTCAGCAACCCCCTCCTTTTTCTCGGGCAGCTGCTCAAATACAAAGTTCTCTGTTCAAGGTTCTGGTGGCATTTGTTAGGACAACTTCCCATCTCCTCCTACAGCTGACCATTTTATGAGCTGTTATAAGATCTTGCAAGTATAGAAGTTAAAGAAAAGCAGGTGCCAGAATAAATCAAAAAGATCATTCATCCCAGCACCCATGTGCAACCCCACGTCATTGGCTGAGGGCAGGATAATAGTGTTTTTTCCATTCCCACAAGATCTTATTGAGGCCATAAGTTCACAAGGGTCCTGAAAGAGATTGGATATTTATATGGAGAATGAGAACATCCAAAGAGAGAATTAAAAGAACGTGGGATATAGACCTCATGCTTCAGGGCATGAACCAAGCTCTAGCCATTGACAGTTGGAAGGAAAAACTCTCTGTGGGGAAATCTGCCTACACCAGGGTTTCTGATGCTGTTGGTACTTGACACTAAAAGGCAGGATATAGGACTAGACAGATCCTAGCTATTCCTATGTTTCCAAGAATATGGTGGTGTCTCCTGATGCAGAAGACCATATTCAGTGGACCAAAAATTGCACCATGGAGGGTAAATCCTATGTTGCAGAGGGAATGTGTTAGCTGAAGTGCAACCCAAACATGGCATCACCTTCTCGCCAGTGTTCATCCTCTTGCTGGAAGAAAATTCCTTCAGAGAGCGGGTGACCTCCCTGGAAAGGAGAAGGGGCCACAATAGTCAATGAAACCCTTACTCCCTGGGTCCCACCTACCCTACTTCTTTGATTCCCTGTCTCTAGCATTATAACAGTGATATAACAGTGATAGCTTTCTGGTGTACGCCTGGTTCTTGTTCAACAGGAATGGCTGATGGAGTAGCTAAAGGCAGGAGCCATGAATACAAGGCCTGTCATCAGGACTGAATACAAGGACTGTCGTGCCTTCCTCATGCTGTCAGATCACTTCTGGACTGCAGTGCACTAGTGGATCTGTACAGGGAAACTCCATGTGGGACTAGCAGAAGGTTGCAACTCTGGATTGTTGTGGATTGGCGGAGATGTGGGGTCTTAGGACCAGACTAGTGAAGGACACTGTGGGTCAAGACTGGTGTGTTGGCAGAGTCATGCTGAAATGCTCACACAGAACCTGCCTTTATTATTCATCTCACCAATAGACTTTGGCTTCCTGACACAGGCATTAAGTTAATTTCTTGATGAGGCCTTGTGTAGGGGTGCCTGTCCCAGGGGCTAGACTCCATGAGCTTCAGGCACATAGAAGGGTGTGAGCACTTACTGGGACACTTCTGCAATATGCTTGTGGCGTAAGGCAACCCAGAGGTCATCATCCTCATCCAGAAGAACCTCTTTCACCCGGGCCTCTCCAATGCCACTTGTCTCGTACCTGGAGAAAAGAGCAGGGAGCATCACGTGAGGAAAAGCTGACAATGGAGAAACACATCACACTCTGCAAGCACCTACTCTGGACTCTTTAAAGAAACATTTGGACGTCTATCTTGCCGGGATCCTTTGACCCTAGCTGACTTCCTGCCTCTAGGGCAGGGGGCTGGACTCGATGATCTTCCGAGGTCCCTTCCAGCCCTAACATCTATGAAATCTCCTGCTTAGTCCCTGAGGCAACTCCTCCACTCCAGGCTGAATGAGGAGAGATGAGACCGCTTGTTCACAAGACTGAGAGCTTGTCAACATTTCTGGGGAGCACCTCCATGAAGTACTTCCCACCTATCTGATCCCCTCACCTTCACAAAAAGTTTCTCTCAAGGTCTCAGTCCCCAATGAGCTTGAGAGCAGTTGTTGGGGAATGACCCTGGAGCAGCCTCAACAGGATATTTCTGGGCCAGGCATGTGCAGAGCCATCTCTGTATGGGTGTACCATACGGGTGGTTCTGGGTGCATGTGCTCTGGCTGCCCTCAGACGGCCGTGTTTTCTCATTTCTATGAGTAAAGCACCCGGAGGAGGAGCAAGCAGGCAGCATCTGATTCATGGTGTTAATCCCACACACACCATGGAAGTGGTGCTGACCTGCTCCTATTTGGTGCCCTTAAGGTTTTTCAGTGATATCCTATTAATGCTTCCTAAGAAACACACAGTAATCCAGAGCTGTGCTGGGCATCAATCTCTTGCTCTGGAATTTATTCACAGTATGATTTACCCTATGGTCTAGGCAAGGACCATTTTTTGGCATTATATTTGGACAGTGCCAAGCACAATTATCTGCTCCGAGACTGGGGCTTCTAGGCACCACGGCAACCCAAATAAGAATAAGTGAAGTCCATTAGCTACTGCAGCCTGATTCTGGTGTGAGATGGTTACAGGGAGACATGTCGATCTGTTTGTCTGCATGCAGTGGGTCAAACAGACAGAATTAAATCTTGTGTACCCATCTGAAGTGGACTCTGGGGAATCTTTTAGCTCAGGCTAGAATACTTTTGACTTGGAGAGGAAACAGTCCCTTTTTAATGTAGAGACTGGAGGAGGAACAAGAAGGAATCTTTGACCCCACCATCTCTTAGACAACTTGAGTATCCCTCTCTAGGTCTTTAATGGTTTAAGGGTAACGAGCGAGATAAGGAAAAACTCTTGCAAATGTCACCTCCCTGCAGAAACAGGACTCAAAGGAGTTCTAGGCAAGTTGTTTCTCACAATTCAATACCCCCTCCAGCAGGTAAAGCCAATGGAGCTGGAGGGAGGTTACAGCCAAAATGCCTAGATGTGACCTTTAAAGCTGAATGCTTCCCATTTGGGTGTCTCCATTTATGTTGGAGCCAACTCCAATTACTGAGTTCTTTGGGTTCCATCCGGCTGCAAGGTTCCTATAGTTCTAGGCATTGCATTTTGTATCACCTTGGTGATTGCCCCCCTACTCACTTGTAGACATCATTCTCAACAGGCAGCAGGTCATAGCTCATGGCTTGGAAAGTCAGTTCATGCAGCACTGGGGAGGCTGGGTCGAAGCCACGGTCCAGAATGAGGAGCTGGGAGCGAGCTTTGTCCGGGCCCTAAAGAAACAAAGAGTAAATCTTTGTTCCTGAGGAATGCAGTGGATTCTCCCTCAGCTGAATCATTATCATGGAGACTGAATGTCTTCCTAGATGGGCTCGAGGTCAGTCACAAGTTCTTGTCTTAGTGGAGGAAATGTGGATGACAATCTAGCCTACTAGGGTATCACCCTACATTCATGGGCCCATCTAGACTGAATCATGAGCAAAAACCAAACTCTTCCACTGAAGAAACACGTTTTTAACTCCTGTTCATTGCAAGTACTTGCAGAGAGGTCTCTTTGCTACCCTGTACACAGGAGATGTGACTTTTTTTACAGCCTCAGCTAGAGAGCCTTGATTTTTTTTTCAAGCTCACTCTGTAGGTGCTCATGCTTTTAGCTATGGTGTTTTCTAGTTCACCCTTTGCAAAGTCATCCAAGATCGCAATGATCACAATAGCATCCTAAACTTTCTACCAAAGCCATCAGTACAAGAGATATTTCCATATCTCTTGCCTAACACCAGTAACTATACCCTTATCACCATCACAGTGCTGCAATCACTAATACCAATGCTGCAGTGGCTCAAAATGACAGCTGTACTTCTACATGTATGTGAAGCTTCTTAAATGATTAATACATGGTTAGCTTTTGCCACCTTAATTACACACACACACACACACTCTCACCAATGTTCTGGTCTAACAGTATAACGAGACCATCAGTGCTTTCTTGAACTCCTCCTGTTCTCCTAATTTCTTCTGTCAGTGTCCAGCACTCCACAACCCACACTCACCTCACCCATGGTTGGATCATCAGCCTTATAGGCATCCAATTTGTCCTGGATAAGCTGGGCCAGCATGGCATTGTCTTTGTAATCTCTAGACAAGGTGGAGTAGAGAGAAAGGTACAAAAGTCAAGTAATTGCTCCTGTATCTTCTGTGAACGTTGGTTTTAAGGAGATGGGAGAAGCAGCTTGGGGGTGGGATATACATCTAAATGTCTTAAATCATACTATTTTAGCAGGTGCTGCTATTACCAGGAATTGTGTATTTTTGTACATGTGGCAGAATAGCTGAGTGGGTCATAGTCCTCATGTTCATTAAGGTGTCACTTTCCATGTGATGTCCTGGGATGGCCCTGAGAAGGCACAATTTGGATGGCGCTCTCCCCATGCCAGTAAAGGACACCTAGGTAGCTTTAGCAGATTCCTTTCACTTTTCCCACCCCTCACTACCAAGCACCCAATGTCTTTTGAAGCACCTTCTCCACCTCATGTGCATTGCCTTACCCTCTGTATCGGACGGCCGGATATTCCTTCAGAGTGGCACACAAGGTGGCAATCTGTTCTGCCAGGCGTTCCAGGATGGGGTTTTTCATTTGGGCCTTGTGGGGGCTGTAGAAGCTTTGGAAAGAGTCAGCAGAATCCAAGGAGTAAACCTGGGTGGGACAGGAATGGCAGAGGGAAAGGTTAGATGCGAGTGCCCCACCGCGAACATCCAAGAAGTGGGCTACACGTGTTAGGGGTAGAAGGTGCTGCCCCCTCACAATAGAAGGCTCTGTGTCAGCTCAAGCCAGTGTAGGAGCCATGACAGAAACTAGGCAGCTGTGGCAGCACAGACATTTCCCAGAAGTGAGGCTGTGGTGGATGCCGCTAAGGGGATTGAGTGTAGTTTAATGAAATCTCAGCGTTCTTCCCCCGGGTTATAAGTTTTGTTGGGCGTCCAGGAGGCAGAGTAGAAAATCACATAGTAATCTCTGCCCTGATAAGTGTGTGCTGTAACTAGAAGAAGCAGGGGAAGATGAGGCACAGAGCAGTACAGTGACTTACTCAACTCAATCCATAACCTTCCTGTACAAAGATCTGGGAGCTCTTGGCCCTCTTGCCCATTAGACCAGGTTGCCTCCCTTCCTAGATCTGGGACCTCCTGGCCCTCAGTTCAAGGCTCTTGCCCATTAGACCAGGTTTTGTCGCCCTTCCTAGCCTCAGCCTCCCAATACAAACTCAGTCATCAGCTTCAGTTTGGACAGCAAGCTCAGAAGGAACAGGAGACGGGAAGCACAGTAGCATCCATCCTCTGCCATGCTGGAAACATGTTTGTCATTATAGCTTGGCCAAGTGGAGGAAGGTGGTGGGGGACAGAAACTAAGTCGTTTCTACACCAACAGGAACCATACACCTAAGGCTGTCCCTGCCCCCACACTCATGATAAAAAGGTACCCAATTCCAGTATCCACGCCTGGCAAAAGTGTCTCCTGCACAGGCACATGTGGTTTGCCCAGCTAGAAGAATCATTGCAACATTTGGCTTTCAGAGGCTTAATGATGCTGAACATTGAATGCCATCTGTTCCTAGTCACATGCTCCAGTCCCAGCATAGCACAGGCCTCTTCTACAGCAGATGGCAAGAGGTTTCATCCCTCCCATGCCCTTAACTTATTGGCCCATCTCTGATGGTACCAAAATAGCTAGCCAATGGCAGATGATAGTCTGGGCCAGGGGAGGAACATGTCACTAAATACACCACCGAGGTCAGCTCAGAGAAATAATTGAAGGAGACAAGAATAAGAGAGCATGGCAGGAGGTAAAAAACTGTTCTGGGAAGAGAGCTTAGTCATTTAGTATCTCATTTCCAGGTGTCACATAAACACTGCTCCTCCAAGGTATGTGAGCCCAAGCTATTGAATGAAGCTCGAGCATCCCTGACCACAGTCCCCAGCCAGCCAACCTAGAACATTTGACTTTTGGGTTTCCCATACCTTTCCCCAGGACCTGGCCAAATGGATGGCTGGAGCCAGCCCTGCTGTTTCTTGCTCTGCTCTGCTGCCCTGGACTCACCTGAGACTCGTAGGGGAGGAAGGCAATGTTGATTTCCGTCAGGGTCTTGATTACTTTTGCTGCGCGAGATTTTACCAGTTCATTGAACAGGGCATCAGGGCAAGCTGGAGAGAAGAGAACCAGACCATTCAAGAGAGGCTTTAAATCCCTGGGTGCCACATGCCCAAAGGCCAAAAGCCAGATCACAACCAGGCACTGAATATAAAAAAAATCTAAACACAGCAGTTTACAGGCAGGCCCCACAGTATTCATACTGCTTCTCTGGCACTGTGCACCCTGAGATCTCAAAGCAATTTTCCACACATTGTAAATGAACTTGGCCTCCCTAGAAGGCAATCGCATCACCTGGCAGTGGGCATGGCATAAATGCCTAGATACGGGAGCCCAGTACCCATAGCCTCTTCTTACAGGCTAGGTGCTGAGAGGGTGGGCATGGGGAGCTGGGAAGAAAATCTGGTTCTCCTGGGGCCCTATTGTGCTACATATCCACAGTAAAAGACAGTCCCTGACCCAGAATGCTTGAAATCAAAATAGACAAAGCAAGCAAGAAGGGAAGGGCTTTGCCCAAAGCTGCTGGTCATGGTAGAGCCAGAAACAGAATTTGGTCTGCTGAGTTGCAGTCCAGCCCTAGCCACTAAACCATGCGGCTTCTCCAAGATTATCCATGTTCCCCTATGGTGGCAGCACAAAAAGAGGCAGCTTGCTACCTGACCACCCCTCCCACGGCAAGGATGGCATGGTAGCAAATTTCCACCAGCTTGGGGCTTCCCCCTTCCTGTTAGTCATAAAACCAGCCCTGATAGACAGAAACCCCCCAAAGCAATGGTAAAGGCAGGAGGTCTGCCTTGAAGAGCCCCAGAGATATGAAAGAGAGAGGAGAGAAAGTAAAGAGAACAGAGGGAGGAGATGGAGGATCTCTCTGAATCCTCAGAGTGACTTGCACTAAGGGGAGAAACACCTGTTATTTAGGAAGTTGATGCTCTTCTCCTGTAGGTTATACCAGTATCAGACAAAAGGCCTGCCCCAAACTCCTTTGAGGACAACGAGGTCCATTGATTGCAGGAGATACTGCTCAGAACCAAAGTGCTGAGGCTACATTAGTCTCCTCTGCGAGCTGAGGGCTGAAATGCCTTAGCACACTCCGATAGGTCAAGAAAACCAGGTCAGCTTTTCCCTCCCCTGCCAAAGTGACTCACCAGCTTGCATCCCAGTTTGAGACTCTTAGTTATTGCTGTGTGCGAACAGTGTCCATGCTGAAATTCTCTAGCTGTGCTCTTACGTGATGTGTCATAATCCTATTCACTCTCTTTTGTAAACCTATCTCCTGGGCTCTGCTGTAGCTTTGGGCCAAGTTTCTTTTAACAGCCAGGGAGAATTTCAGGCTAAGTTGAGGTACAATGGAGTATTCTCTGCTGACCCCCCACCCCCCTCCCACCACTACCCTGGCCATCCTCTCATCTGAAGTAATGCAAGAAAATAATACACAAGGGTGACATGCAGCCTGATTCCCATCTGTGACATTGCACTTACATTGCACTTACTAATGCTGGAGTAACATTACTGCCATCAGCAGTGTTACACGCCATTTACAGCAGCCTAATAGAGCAGAATTTGGCTCACAGTGTCCAGTGCCAAAAGCCATTTGGTTCTGCTTTGAGTCTCCACTAAAGTCAAGGGAGTGACACCAGTTTTACATTGGTGTAATGGATGCAGAATGTGGCCCTTGACTTTAACTCCTGATGCAGCCCCATTGACTTGAATGGGGTTACACTGCTGGGGTGAGTTTAGCCCCTGATGAAATAAATAGATAGGGATCTTGACAGAAATATTCCACTTCCAAAACCTGAGATCCCATGTGTATGACTAGGAGCAATGAGATTAATCTGAGGAAAGGCTCAGTATCAGGGAATGTCTCTTAACAATGAGGCCTTATTAGATTACACAGCAGTCTCCTGAAGTAACTGTTGAAAGCTCCGTTGCGTGAGTCATTTGAATCAGATTTGACAAAGCACTGTGACAGGGAGAACAGCCATCCATTGGATAGAGAATGAATTATGTTCCCTGGCAGGGGTTTCCCTCACTCTGATTTCAAGGATTCCTTCTCAGGCAAAGGCTGCTCCAAATCTTTTGCAAGCAATGCATGCTCGTTCCTTCCAGTGCTCCTGCATTTCCTTTGCAGTGGAGGTGCCAATGTGTGTTTGGGAGCCTTGATTACTAGATGTTGCAGATCAGGCAGGGGGAAATGAAGAAAGATCTCATGAAGGTGGCAGCATACTTACAGTCAGTGAAGAAGACGTGGGCAGCCCGGTACTTGGAGGTAGGGGGTTCCTTGAAGTCATTGATGAGTGAACGGACAGACTGCAAGAGAAAAGTCAAAGAAACCCAGATGTGGCTGGTATGACAGATAGATCAAGATTGGTGTGCACTGGCTGGTCTCAATCACACATGATTTACATATTACAGAATTAACCATTAGCTGCAATCCATTATCTTAGGAGGTGGATATTTACTCATTCTCAGTTGTCAGTGCCTGGCTGGTGTGTTCCGCAGTGGAAGCACGAAGGATCTTTAGGGCAGTCTGAAGGAGACAAAGGAGCTAAGTTGAAATGAGTTCACTCCAATGGAAGCGGTGGCTGGATCCTTGAGTTGGCATGAAAAATCTTAACCTTAAGACTCTGCCCTTTATGAATGCAGGCAGGAGGAAGAACAGTAGTTCCTGGGGGCTGGCTGTAGTCATGACCTACATCCATCAGACCCCAGTGCAAGATACCCACATGCTGGAGATCCACCTTCTTAGATGAAGTGATGAGATACATGGCCTCCTGGCTGAGGAGGGGCTCTCAGCTATAGTGCTACTTGGTTACAGGTGAAGTAGCTCAAACTGTTGGACACCTTAGTTGGGCATAGCTGTGATAAATTTAAGGTTGCTAGAGTCCAAGGGCAAAGGTAACAGGATCATGGCTGGGCAATGCCGAAGTCCCTGCTGGCATAGACAAGACCCACCTACGTGCCAACTTACATTGCTGAAGTCACACCAGGGAAGGCACTAATGCAAGGTGTTTTAATCTGCTGGACTATTATCATTGACCAAAAAAGCATAGCATATATATGGAACAAGACCAGGGTTCCTAGAATAGTGGGCAATTAGTGTGATGTGATCTGGTAATTTCTGTGTCCAGGCAGCACAGGCAAGGCAATGTAGTGACCTTGTTGGAATCCCAGCTGACCTGGACTAACCACTTCCGAGGGGGAGTTCACCCACATGACTGCAATTTTGTTAAGTCTCTCTTACAAGTAAAAAACATATTACAAACGCCATAGCATTAGCCAGAAGGATCTTCAGTCTTCCTCCTGAATCAGGTCATGCACACCCACATCAGTTCAGCTTGCACACCAGGACTCTTTAACATTATCATAGCTGAAGCTTGTAAGAGCCACCTACGGCACTGCCAGATATCCCATGCAGCACAGATGCCACACTCGGACACCTACATCCATCGGACCCCAACACGAGATACCCGCATCCTGGAGATTCACCTTATCAGATGGGGTGATGAGATACACGGCCTCCAGGCTGGGGAGGGGCTCTCGGCGCTTATTGATGTCCTCCACAACTGCATAAGAAAAACAACCAACACGGAAGGAATTGTTACAGCAGGAGACAGGTTGCCTTAGTATTTAAAGCAGGGAGCTGTATGCTGTGAAAAGAGCTACATGGTCAGGGATCAAGGTTTTCTTCTGGTCATTTCTGATCCACATGGGATGAAAGTGACCCTTGGCAAAGAATCAAGAACTGAAATGTCATGTCCCTCCTGACACCCAAATAAAAATGTCCCTCGCTCTTAATTTCTTTCTATACTGTACCCAAGGGGAGAACAAAAGGGATAATGATGCTTCTGAGACATGGATGTTCATCTCCTCCTTCTGCAAAATGACCCCTTTCAGCACAACCCCATTCTGCTGCAAGCCTCACAGCTGCATGACTGTTAGGGCCCAGGCATAGAGAAGCCTAGACTTGCTTTACTTCTAAGGGTCCATTTTTTGTGGTGACCCTTCAGTGGTGGTGATTTGTTTTTACATTCCCATTAAATTTTAATGCTTAAGGAAGACAGAGGCTAGAAACAGGATCCCTCTCTTTGTGAAGAAGACAGATTTTGTGCTTGCAGAGAGGTGCCAGCTTTTTCTCTCCTCCCAGTGAACCTCACCCTTATCTGGGAAGGAACACCTGTAAGGGTGAGAGGGGAAGCCTTTCCAAATCAAACAGCCTTTGGCCTCCCCACTGAGGCTGACAGCATTAACTCTTATTACTGCTGGACACAGTGATGGATTTTTTGAGGTGGCCTCTGGACTCCAATGCATGAGTGTGTTCCCCAGCAGAAGCACTGATATAGTCATGTGGGAAGCTCCATATCTGGTTACTCAGATCCACACAAGCAGCTTTTTCCATAGCCTGGACCGCTGAACTACAGAAGCTCCTCTTCTCTTGAGAGAGGCCCTACTCCTTCCACCCAATATGGGATGAAAGTGACCCTTGGCATCCACAGGCAGGCACAGGAGCCCAGAGAAAATCAGTGTCTGGATGGCAATATCATTGAGAGATGAAATGCAAATCTTTGTATTTAGAACAAAAACACAATGTAGGAAACTGTGAGAGCCTCCAACATCAACAATCAACAAGTGCCTTGGGGCCTGGTGCCTATTGAACAACCACTGAGCTACATCCTGCCACTCTTGGGGCCAAGTCCTAAGCTGCCCGCTTTAGTTGCTTTAGTGACTTCAATAGAGCTGCAAGAATTTGCACCCACCGTTAAGGATTTAGTCCTAAGGACCTGCATACTGCTCTCTTCAAGCCAGTTTTCCCCTCTAACACTGCTGTAAAACAGGAGTAATTCCACTGTGTTCTGATGGAGTTGTTTTTGTACAAGAGCAAAATGAGCGCATCAAAGTTCATGTCAAGATCTAGACACATAGCATGATCAGACTTGATAACAGGTTAAAAAGGATCCCCCCGAGAAGATTTTTTTTTTTGCAGTGTTCCACTCAAACAGCCCATAATCTATAGCATTCCCCATCCCTTGGAAAGAGTGGTAGTTTCATCAGCATACCATGAGAGCTAATGTTGTGTTTTCTTGGGCAATACTTCTATCATCTTCCATGGACCAACTAGGAACTATAGGACTTGGCCTGTTATTATTATCAGTGATTGATATTATGGTAAGGGCCTCTCTTGTGCTGACATAGTACATGTAAAAAATAGAGAGATGCTCCCTGCCCCAAGAGCTTGCAAGCTTAGCTATTTGCAAGGTGCCTCCATGTAGACCCTTCTCTCATTGCCCCTTTGGTATCATTCACATCACAGGATCTTTGTTTCTCCAAGGATCCCATGGTTTGTGCTCCCACCCAAACACCAACACCCCAGGTCCACTTTCACTTTGCACAGTGTCAATCAGAAGTAACCTACTATGAAGCCAGTACCCTGCATCAAATTGCTAGGAGAGGAAAATCAGGCCCTAGATGCAATGTCTGTCCTATTGGAATACTTCCTTCAGTGTCCAGAAAGAACAGTGTCCTTTGGTCAAACCCAACTAAAACCAAATGGCTCCATATTTGGGAGTTCGATCTATCTCTTCAACAGCTTTTTTAATGTTGCAGGGAGCTATTTATGGGCCTGAAATAAAATGACATCTGGTCTCTTCATAGTATTTCCAGTATCCAGGAACTAAAATAGTGCCAGGAGACAAGATCCTCATGCTTTTCCAGCCCCAGCAAGCAGCAAAGGAAGCCTGTGACATATGCAAATGCAAACCCTCAGACCTAGACGTGCGACTGAGCAGATTGTGAAGGAGCACTGCACCCTTCAGGTGGGAATGAGATGCAATATGGCTGTGAGAATATTTTTAGTAACAACGAATCTATAGACAAGAGACATCAAATGCTGCTTTGTCCCTTGGTGTAAGGGGCTGCTGCTACCAGGAAGCGAATGGGGGCAGAGTGGCACTTGCTGACCAAGAGAATATGTTGCAATCCAAGGAGCAGTAAGCTCACCCACCACATAGGAACACCTTCAGTGCAAGTGAGTCTACAAGGGGCAGCTTGGATCCTGGCATCAAGATGCCCTAGCAGGGAGAGATGAGAAGAAAGGGGCTAAATACAAGGAGGAGAGGAGATTAATTGTGTTGCCTTTGTTCTTCCCTGGTAGTGGGTGGAGAGTGAAAAGTTACCAAGGGAAGAAGCTGCTCTCACAGCAGACAGCTTCCACTGATCACCCTTCCCCAGTGTTAGATGACTTTGGGTGGCTCAGCTGGAGCCACCTAAATGAGCAGAAGCAGCCAGAACCCTTTTGCACTCACTTGTTATCCCCTCAGTCATGATGTCGGTCATCTTGCAGCAGGAAGAGAGCATGCGCATGCTGAGCTGATCCACCACCAGCACCTGGGAGGGAGAGATGCAGAGTGAGCAGGGGCCACCAGGACATGAGTATTGTGATGAGCTGGGTGTGCTCTGCCGCACTTCTGACAGCAAAGGGACAGAAACGCTGGTTAGGTTCCAGCACAAGCAGGGACCTTCCTCACAGCTCTGCCTCCACGGACATGCAGCATGACTTGCTTTTGCATTCTGCGCACTAGAGCATTTCTAGAGCTACTGGCTCAAAGGTGTCGAACCACTAGCTTCACACAGCTACACCAAGGCACCTCCCCACAAGTTGCAATGCCCCACCTGCCATCTTGTCACTCTTGACCCACCTCTGCCCATGCCCATTAGTCCTGATCTGCCGCACCCTTTCTAGTCGCATCCTGTCTCCCTCACTGCCTGCTCTGTGCCTCCGTCCCACAGTACATATCCTGGGTTACATTTAGCAAAGGACAGGATATTTGGCCACCTTCAGACACTTGCTTTTTGAGTCCCCATCCTCTGCCATGTGCCAGCTGTCACACTAACTGCAGTGCAGCCACAGTGGTCACAGCTGGAAGAGAATCCCTGGTACATTTTGTGCTACCTACTACTTGCCTTGTTCTTCCCATAGATGACAGATAGAGGACCCCTCCATTATGCCTTATTGTTCTCCACTGGTATAGCAATTCCCAGGCTGCTCCCCAACCCAACCCTGCCCTTCCAGCTACACTTTTGCCCGTGGCCCTACCCATCTGTGCCCCATTCAACCCCTGTGTGTATTCCTCCACTCACCTTCCACTCGCCCTTCTTCTTCACCTTCCTGATCACATCATGCATGATCTCTGCAACAGGAACACAAAAGGATGTCATGTCATGCCAGCCTCTTTAGTCCCCAAACCCTTTGTGTGTGTTTGGTCCTTTAAATTCCTTGACTCCCATCTTCCAAAGCTATCGCAGTCAGCTTGATCTGTATTCTGGCTACTGAGTGATGTTGTGCCTTTGTATAGGGGAAAAATAGTGCCCAGGTCCTTGTAGAGTTGTCTTGCTGGAACACAGGGTTGGCCACACCAGGAAACACTGCTGGCCCCTTAGGGTGGGTACCCAACTCCTGCCCACGCTTTAGTCATGATAGTGGTCTCTCACCTAGCACCTATCCTCAGCAGATCCTGGAGCACTTTATAGAGGAGGTCACTATAATCATCCCCATTTCACACATAGGGAAATTGAGACATGAAGTGGTGAAATTACTTGCTCTAAGCCAGCCATCAGGTTTGCAGCAGAGTCAGAAATAAGCCCCAAATCTCGTGTCCCTGTCAAGTGTTCCATCCACTAGACCAGCGGTTCCCAAACTCTGACAGACTGCGCACCACCAGTTTAAAACAATACAACCTTAAGTACCACCAGCAATTTTTTGTCATATAAAGTAATTATAATAAATCTGTTAGCATGTACCACTGACAGGTTGCTTGTGTATCACTGGTGGTACCCATACTGCTGATTGGAAACCGCTGCATTAGACCATGCTGCCTGTAAGGGCACATCCATCCCATGTCCCCAGTGCTCCTGAAACACCTGCTGCCAGCACATGCCAAACCTAGAAATGAGGCAGGGAAACTCCAGGGGCTTCCCCCACCACCACACTCCAGATGCTGGAGACAGGGGCCTTGAGTGCAGCCACGGGACAGCATTCCCATCCCCTGCTGCATTTCTGGGTATGGCATGTAAGAGCAGCAGCAGGTAGGCATCTCTAGGCCATGTCTAGGGGATGGCATTTGCATTCTAGTGAATGGGGCTGCAGGGCATTAAGCTGAGGCAAAGAGGCACTAGAAGAAGCCATGAACTGTCTCCGGGAAACTCTCAGACTCAATCTTTTTTACCACTGCCTCTAAGCCTGGTCCAGCAGCTGTGAGATCTAAAGTCAGTCTGCATGACAATGGATGGCTCACTGCAGAACCCCTGCAGAGACACCTCCAAACCTCTGGACCAGGGCATTTAAACACCGTAGACATCTGTACAATCTCTGTTCAAAAGCTGATGACCTGGACGTTCTCAGTGCTCCTGACCTGCTGAGGCCACCTGGAAGATTTATTTTTAAATTACTGAAAAACAAAGCAGCAGCTGTGGAACAAGCCACGTCAGCAAGGGAGCAGAGCTAGAGGACAAGTGTAATGGAGAGATACCACCTTGAAGCACCTTTACTGGCTCAGGCAGAGCTGGGAGAACATGCACTCTATGGGCTAAGAGGTACCTAGCCTGTGAAAATAGAAGGACTGTGTATCCAGAGATGTAGCAGCACAGCTCTGTGCCCAGGACAAATGCTGACTCCTACCATGCCAACTGTACTAGTATGATCAGCCCATGGCTGCTTTTGTGCCCTGCCAGGAGCTTCTGCTTCGTTTATCCCCCCTACCATCTTCTCTCTCCCTCCGTGTTATGCCACTGTGTCTATAACCACAGAAACTCACTGTTGGCTTTGAGTCAGACCCTCCAAGATCAATGGAAAGACTTTCATTGACTGCAATGGACTTTTGCTTGGGTCCTGACTATGCCCTAATCCACCAGATCCTTCAGAAAGTGGGCATCTACCTCCTACTAATATCAGCGTTGTAGGGGTGGAAAATTTATCCTACTTGCATCACTCTCTAGTGGACACTCCACAGAAACAACCTGCTTAAGTACAGCGACACCTGGAAATGTTGGTAGCCTGTTAGCTTCCTGCCGTTTTAGGAGGCAGTTGACCCTCCGTTTCCTGCAGGTGGAGGCCTGCCACAACGCCCAAACACTAACACCCTCAGGGTGGGGGTCTTCCTTCACACCTCACTGAGCAGCCTTGGGTACTGCTCATCGTCTCCTGCATCTTGTGAGCTTTCTAATCCAAAGCACCAAGAACAGCAAAGGCTTAAGAGCTCCTTTTAGAAACAAGAATCAAGCAGCTTGAACCATTTCCTTATAATCCCTGGCAATCGCATTTCACTTCCCACTCATGTCTGTCTTATGCAACCGGAGGCGGCAACATCACATACCACTCTGTACACACAATTCGCTCCGCTTTCATCCTTTGTACATCGTTCTCACTCACTGCTAGTCCAGGCTCAGTGGCAAGAAAGGTCAGTAGCACATTCCCTATGGTGATGGATGTTTTGCCTCTATCCCATCCCGAGAGTCAGGACTGAGCTTTTCTATGGAATTGCTTGTGTCCTACTTTCACCAAGAGTCCTGTCTTGCTTTTGCCCACCTGTTAAGGCACATACTGTGAGTTTGTCTGGATGGTGACTAAGAGGAAGGGGATAGGGGAGGCACTGGGGGAAGAAAGGCTGAGAAGGGAAAGGAAAGGCTTAGAGCTATCCATGGGGTTATAGACACGTTTGGGCTGAATGTACTGCCAGTGAGAGCTCTTAGACTTTATCATGCTCCCGCAAGAAAAATGTAAAAGTTTGTCACTTGAGGGTGGACTGGACAAAGTGCTGGAGAATCTACCAGAGAGAATCCTGCTTAGAAAAGGGACTAGGTAACTTAGTAGGCCCTTTCCATCATTGCTTTCTGCAACCCAATGAGAGTTTGCTTTGGTCTGTCCCATTCAAGCCTCCCTCATTGTTCAGTGTATTGACCTGCTCTCTAGCAACAACCCCCCTTTAGGCCTCCCCAGCTTTCCAAAATCATCCATTAGATACCACCTTCCAGCTCTCTCCTGCTCCTGCAATCAAAAAACCTAATCTACCAAGTGATCTGAAAAGCACTGAGTCCAGGTCACAGACCCAGAGTCTGAGCTCTGGATTCAGCTGCACACAACCAGGAAAGCATTGTACAGGGTGGTGAGAGAAGAACAGATACCCCAAATCCATGCCACTGTCACTATCCTCCTGAACACAGTATGCACAAGTTCCTCCATGGCACAGAAGCAGTGTGCAAGGACCTATTCTCATTTGCTCTTCTTGCCAGAAGGCTCCATACCATGCCGGGACAGTGGTGCCTTTGTCACTGCAGTGGGGTGTGCATGAGTGCCTGCACAGCACAAAGACTATGCTTCACTGGGGAATGGGCTGAGACAACAGCCCAGGCAGCATGATATGTGAGCGTTAGCCCAGAGAGGCTGACAGAGAACGCTGTAGCATCCAAAAGTTGGACCTGTTTTTCAGAGGTGGTCAAGTTAGCAGGAAGGGAGAAGGCATTTTAACTTTCTCAAAATAGAGGTGTTGTCCATCTACTGAGATTGCAAATCAGCCATCCCAGTTACCAGACTCGGGTTTGTCCTTAGGTTGTATGCTAAGTGGCTTTCTCCTTAGCTCTGGGCTTTGATTTCTGTCCCATATTCACTCACTGCAGTGTACCAGGTGCCCTAACGTAAAGCCCCACTCTGACAGCCAACTGCCACAGATCCCCTGCATTTGGTTTCTTTTCTTTCCCCTCTCCCTCATCCCTTCTTCTTCCTCCACTGGCCTTTTGCCAAATAGGCCTCTGCTGAGGCCCCTTTTTGGGGTTTTTTGTCTCTTTTGTCTTTTTCTTTGTTTTATTTTGGATGATGAAAAACACAGCCAAGAATAAGGGTCCAGAAACCAATGCCCTGTGCAAATTCCAGATTTGATCGTTTCTCTTACTTCCCTACTTTTTGGCCCTGCCTTAGTAAGATTAGTGGGAATAATGGCATTCACTTCAGTGGCACAGGGTCAAGCCTGTACCTTTCCCTTCAAACGCAGATATAAAAGGTCTCTTCATTTCCTGGCTCATAATTCCACAAAGACTTATTGAACAGATGCTTTAAGCAGCGGTCTCTATCCCAGAGGAGTCTGCAAAGTGCTTTGGCCTGCAGGGTACTATATACATGGAAGGTTATAATCTCAGACATCTACACAGGTATTACAGCAGTCGCCATTTGGGTTATTCATTCTGTAAAAACCCCGCACAATATTACTGAATGAAAGATGGTACAGCAAATACATCAGGCTTTTTCATGAATACTGATCACTCTTTCTATGTAGTCCCAGTCATCCAACAACAGGAGGAGATGGAGCTATTGCTGCTGGCCCTGCGGGCTGGAACAGGGTGAGTGGAGGAGATGCACCTAAAACAATGATTTTGGTGATGGTTAGTGCTTGGGAAAGCAAGCAACTCAGTGCTTGGGGTGGTGCCAGGCATGGGGGGGTTCAGTCATGTGCA